ACAAATAATATTAAAGCATATTATATGTACCAAACAGCCAAATAAAGAGAGCTAACGACAGAATTCATTAACTGAAAGATATATCATAAGAAACCATCCAAAACACAGCACAAAGAGACAAAGAAAGTAAAAACATAAAAGAGAAATTAAGAGACAAGGAGAATAAAATGGAAGATATAGCATAAGTCTAATAAGCGTTCCAGAAGACAAAATTAAAAAGAATGTGGAAGAAGCAATACCTGTACAGATAATTGAGAGAATTTTTCAGTCATGTTGATAGATGTTGATCCTCAGAATCAGTATATTCAACAAATCCCAACAGGGAAAAGTGAAAGAAATCCACAACTCGTTTTTTCTTATAGTGGAGGATTATTTAATCCTAATTTCATTAAATCCCCAAACCACTAAATTACAGAAAAGGAATTCTGACATCAAATAATAGAAAACCACAGAAATGAACTAGGAGGAGAGGAGACCACAAAAATGTTTGGAGCTGAAAAGAAAATGAATGGGAAAGGTGCCCGAGGAGGTCTGAGACGACCTCAAGCTAGAGGAGCTAAGACTAGACAAGCTCAGGTATAGCACAGAATATTTGTCTTGAGAACTGGCAACACCTCCTGACTCCAGAAGCAGCAGAATTCTACATGTTTATTCTTTAGACACTTGAAATGTTATCCGATCTGGAGATATTAGGCACAGTTGAGTCCAGGTACCATATGTTAAATAGGGGGACCAAGTCACCATATTAATAACAAATGCTTCCAGAAAGAAACTCTCACAGTTATAGCCAATTGCTTTGACAAAAGTACCAAGACAATTCAGTGGGGGAAAAATTAGTCTTTTCACCAAATGCTGCAGGGATAACTAGGTATCAACAGGCAAAAGAATGAATTTGGATCCTTCATACCACAAACAAAAATCAACTCACAATGGATCATAGCCCCAAATGTAAGAGCTAAAACTATAAAGCTTTCAGAGGAAAGCAGAGGGGGCAGGATCAACTGGCCTCAGCAGTTCACTGAATGTGCAGGAATAAAGCAGGAACTGACTCATAGTTTAGTGTGGTTGGCTAAGAAAACAGGAAAAGCACTTCCAGGAAACCTAAGGAAAATGGTGCTGCCATGCAGAAGCGTTTACACTGCAGACCTGAGACCACTCTCCTTACGGACCAGCTTGAAAGGGGGGCCCTGGACTGTCCTCTGGGAACTCAGATTTTGGGAGGGTTCCCACCATTCCCAGAAGTGATAAGAAAGGCTTGCTGAACCTAAAATGTTTGTGCAAGTAACGTGGTTTGTGTTAAATACCTGCTTCCTTCTGGAGTCTGGTGGTTTCATACTTGCTACACAGGACTGCCTACATGACCAGCTCTCAAGAGACCCTGGGCACTTGGAGCTCTACTGAGCTTCCTGGTCGACAACATGTCACACCTGTTGTCACAGCTGGTTGTGGAAGACTGAGCACGTCCTGTGTGACTCCACTGGGGAGGGCGTCTTGGAAGTTGGTGCCTGGTGTCCTCAGACTTCACCCCACACGCCTTTTCCTTTGCTGAGCTTGCTCTATATCCTGTCATTGCAGTCAATCATAGCTGTGAGTACAACTAGCTACTGAGTCCTTTGAGTCCTCCTGGTAAATCACTGAAACTAGGGGTGGTCCTGGGGACCCCTGCCACAAGTATATACTAAGAAAATAAATCCATTTGCTTTGGTAGCATATGGTCCAACCAGATCCCCAGAATTCTACTGGACAAGTTCTGAATGCTTAGGACAATGTGTGTATGTGACCTGGAGGTTCCCAGAAGTGGCAGGGCAACACAGGCATATGGGGAGTGAGTTTTGCAGGCCCGCCCCAGACTCACTGAATCAAAAGTTTGGCCAGTGGTCTGGGCATTTATTTCTTAGAAAACCTGACTTGTTGACCTGCAACTTTTGGACAGCAGAACTTCCTGAGCTTCTTGCCCCAGCAGCTGCTAATGGGCATGAATCACACCAAGTCAGCTTCCTGTCCTCTTCCAACCCACACACGCCCTCCTCCCTCAGCTGCAGCTTGATCCAGTCCTTGTTGCTGCAGCTCACAAAGCAGGTTCAGTGTGCCATTATTCTATATCTAGGGTATATACAAAAACAGTTTTGGAGAAAGATGTTTTTAGTATCTTATGAACTTTAAAAATGCACATAAAAGTGCTTTGTAAACAAGAAATTTACAAACGTAATGTATTATTGGGCTTAACAGGCAGGTGTATGCACCATAAAATACAGCAGTGTCTTTGATGTGATGCTTCCAGTGCAAAGTTATACCTCCTGACAGCTCTCTGCCCTACTCTAATTGAAAACTCATATAAAGGTTACAAACACATTTTTAACTTTGGTTTCAGGTTTCAGTTTTGTTGATCTTGAGATGTAAATATTATCTCCACGTTAAGAAATAATTTCATCAGGGAAAGATCACAGACGCCTCACATCTAAACATCAGAACTCACTTTATAGGGGTGCCTGGGTGGCTCAGTTGATTGGGCGTCTGCCTTCGGCTCAGGTCATGATCTCAGGATCCTGGGATTGAACTCTGCATTGGGCTCCCTCAGTCTGCTTCTCTCTCTCTCTCTGCCCCTCCCCCTGTTCATGCGCTCTCTATCAAATAAATAAAATCTTCTTTAAAAAAAGAACTTACTTTATGACTGGCATCCTTTCCTCCTGGGCCCCTTCCCTGTTATCATACACACATCCCCCACCTCAATACACAGCACTATATTGTAACACTCAATATATTTATTTCACTTTCCCTGAAGTTCAGGTCATGGGCAATCTTAGAACTCAAAAGGATCTTCAAAATTCAGTTGGGGGGCGCCTGGGTGGCTCAGTCATTAAGCGTCTGCCTTTGGCTCAGGTCATGATCTCAGGGTCCTGGGATCGAGCCCCACATCAGGCTCCCTGCTCTGTAGGAAGCCTGCTTCTCCCTCTCCCACTCCCCCTGCTTCTGTTTCCTCTCTCGCTGTGTCTCTCTCTGTCAAATAAATAAATAAAATCTTAAAAAAAAAAAAATTCAGTTGGACAAGTAAGTTCTGAATGCTTAGGACAGTGTGTACATGTGACCTGGAGGTTCCCAGACGTGGCAGGGCAACATAGGCATATGGGGAGTTTTCCAGGCCTGCCTAGACTCACTGAATCAAAAGTCCTGCCAATGGGGTCTGCGTCTTTATTTCTTAAGACTTTATGAAGCAGGTATGCCTGGCAGAACCCCACAGGGGCTCTAGATTTGGAGTGAACAAGCATGTCAGAAGGCTGGCGGGTGAAGAGGATTTGTGGAATGGTCTTTAGAAATTGGAGGCTAAGGAAGGAGAATTCATAATCTTTTTTTTTTTTTTTAACATTTATTTGTCAGAGAGAGAAAGAGAGAGAGAGCACAAGCAGGGGGTGCAGCAGGCAGAAGGAGAAGCAGGCTCCCTGCGGAGCAAGGAGCCTGACGTGGGACTTGATCCCAGGACCCTGGGACCATGACCTAAGCCGAAGGCAGATGCTCAACCAACTGAGCCACACGGGCGTCACCCCCCCCAACTTTTTTTTTTTAAAGATTTTGTTTATTTATTTGAGAGAGACAGAGATAGCGAGAGAGAGCATGGGGAGGAGGGGAAGAAGCAGGCTCCCCGCTGAGCAGGGAGCCCAATGTGGGGCTCCCTGAGCTGAAGGCAAACACCCAACTGACTGAGCCACCCAGGCGCCCCAGGAGAATTCATAATCTTGACATCACGAATAATTCTGAGTGGCACAAGGACTGACATTGGAGCCAAAGAGAAGAAAATATAATCTAGTATACCACTTGCCTATGCAGTGAGTAATACCTGCAAAGTCTAACATAATAAACACTCTTAAATGGTTTTCAGGAGGCTTAATTAGACAACAGTACAGATATTATTAACCTTGACAACATAAAAGTACAACTGAAAGAACTGGAAGTAGGAGGGAAAGAGGAGGTGGAAAAACGGGGAAGGGTGCTAATACCCTCCTCTTATAAGGAGGGAGGTCTAGAGACCTGGTTTAAAGTTGATAGTACAAAGAAATAGCGATATATGGTTATCATTTAAAGTCACAACAGTAGCCAATAAAAGGACTAAAATCACAGTTCAATAATACTAAGTTGGGAAGCAGAGAGGCAAAGTCACTTGTTCAAGTTTAGCTAGATAGGAAGTTCTGAAGCCTGTGTGTGACTATGGGCCCTGCACACTCCAGCGTTCTTTACCAGCCTCGAGCTGTGCCAAGCACTGTGCTAGGAAGTAACCTGCCCAATGTCACACACCTGGTTAGTGGCAGAGTCAGAAAAAGAAACTAATTCTCTAGCCTAAAAATGATTTGGAAAAGTTATTACTAAAATTTCCAGAAAAGACCATGTTGAAAATCTCTCATTCGCTCATCCTCATTCCTTCATTTCTGCTCATTCTTTTTACACACACACACACCATTTCTTAAAAAGAGCTCCTCTGCTGAGACACACTTCCTCCCACTTCCTCCTTTCCCCTCCCCTCCACATCAGGCCTGCTCTCCAAGGCTACACCACCTGATCAAGCAAGTTCTCTCTTCTGGAGGCAACTATGAAGACTTCAACCCACCAACCATTTTGTCTTTCATAACCTGACAGAAGGACACAGAAGATACAAGGTGAGCCTGCCCGCTCATCTTAGTCTAGAGACTGAGACCACCTGCTTCTGGGGGACAGGCCACTGTCACATGCACTGAGGTGAGCAGCTGAGGCACCAGGATGTGCTGTGGCCACAGCCTGTGGAGGGCCTGGAGGGCGGGGCTGTGCCCGAGACCAGCCTGTGTGCAGGCCAGACTGAAGACTGAGAAAATCACTCAGTGGCCCTCCGGAACTTCACGAAAACTTGTGAAATACTCAACAGAAATGCCAATTTCTACCCTCAAGATAAATCTTTAAAAATAAACTATAACCCAAACTCATTAGTACCTATAAAAAGCAATTCCAAAATTTCAATTTGATTCACTATTACTTACGCCATTTTCTGTGCGTTTCTCTGCAGGTACATTTATCACATTCCTCTGAGTTCTCTGCTCTTGGGTCTGACGGCCACCTAGTGAAATAAGAGGGCCAGACTTACTAATGGACATACTAGTAAGAGGACACTCTCCCATCTCTCCACTTACTTATTTATGCTAACACAAGTACAATACACCAGGCTGAACAACACTTGATACAGTTGAAAAAATGCTTTATAATTAATTTTTATAAAGTTGTTTAAATGAAATTTTTTCTATTTCACAATCTTGAAATTGACTTATATCGAAAGATTTCTAACACTTAAAATGGTCAAGATGGCAAGTTTTATGTCACATGTGTTTTACCACAACTAATTTTTATTAAATATTTTAAAGACTTTTATATTATAGCAGGGACTAAAAAAACCTTAAAATCCAGCAATAAAAACACTGGTGCACAGAGCTGGTCTTCATTGGCAGGGTTGCAACTGACATGGGGCATCAACACAAATCAGGCTGTCTTAAGAATTCTCCTTTGTTCCATAAAAATTAGAGTATATCCCAAAAAAGGCTTCAAACTTAAACTGTAGAAATTATATGTCCTATTTTGTAAACAAAATGAAATGTGCTGCATACTTGTGCATCTGGTGACTCTGAAGTCATAGAGACCAAAGTCCTTGATGTGTCCAGTGCCTGCCCCTAGCCCACTCATCTCTACAGCTGTTACTTAATGTCATTTGAGAATTATCGAACCCTAGAGCCTGCTTTAGTACCTAAAATCCATGACTTCAAAAGCACATGAACTTCATGTTAAAAAAAAAACCACACACACACACAGGAAAACATTTTTTCTTCTCTTTCCTATTATTTTGAAACATTTGAAGAAAAATGCTATAATGGAAGTATGGCTTGCTTCACCTTAAAGCATGCATTCTCAAAAACAGTGATATTGTCCCCAGGGGGGCAAAGACTGGTCCTTAGGGAATAAAAAATATCTTACTCTTTTTACGTATACAGCAAAGATATACAGTACATAAACAAATACATAGTACATCTAATGGGGAAGATGACGGACAAGAATAGAATGTCCAAAAAAAGGGAGTGAAAATTCAAAAAGAAGTGAAACAGATGTGGGTGGTGTGGCGTGCAGCTGAACACAGTCCTACAGCACACAACAGCCGCCTCATGGAGTCTAGAGCAGTTTCCTAGTAGCAGGAATCACACACACACACACACGCTTCCCTTAGACTATGGCATCTGTCAGTTTACAAGGTAAATTTAATTCTTAGTTATTCTTGGTATTTTTAAGGAATAAGGTATTCAGGTTAATTTAATATTCTAGAATGTCTGCCTCTTCCAAACAACAAGCTGCCAAGAAGTTAGAATACTATAAAACATACAACATTAGAATTATACCAAATGCCACTTAATCTCTGATGGTAAAGATGACCTTACGTTTTGGAGTCAGAAAATAAAAAACAGTAAGAGGTGACATTTGGTGAGTGCTCTCTGTGTATGAGCCCCACTGAGCACTTCACCAGAATGCCTCACCAACCGCAGTCATAGCGCTTTGCACTGTGCAGATGAGGAGACGGGCAGAGGAATGGGAAATCACTTGCCCAAGACCCACACTAAGTGAGCAGCCTCGCTCCCATCTCCAGGGCACCAGCTCCTGGGTTCTAGTTTATGCTCTGCACGTGGCCCTCACTGAGCTACTTTACACTCTAAGCTTGCTGTCCCAAGTGTAAAAGGTGACTGAAGCGAACATCCTCGATGCTCTCCTCTAGCTTCCAGAGACAGAATTCTCACCATTTTGGTGAGGGAGTTCTTTCACTTCTTGTTATGTATCTTGTAGTTCTACACAATAAACACTCAAATGTAATCCCTTTTAAATAATATCAGTTGGTGACAAGTGCCTTCTACTCAGCTCTGTGGGAAGCACAGAGGAAACATATTCTTGGATCCTCAACTCTGGCTGCTTAGAATATAAACCGGAGGAGAAGCTCAGCAAACAAAACAGGGAATAAAGCACCCTTTTTAAAAAATATATATATATTTATTTATTTGAGATGGTGGTGGGGAATGGTGGGGAGAGGCAGAGGGAGAGAATCTTTTAAGCAGACTCTCCGCTGAGAGCAGAGCCTGACGCAGGGCTCGATCCCATGACCCATGAGATCACGATCTGAGCAGAAAACAAGAGCCGGATGCCCAACTGACTGAGCCACCCAGGCGTCCCCAAAGCACCCACCATCTTACTGCTTGGGCTCTGAGAGACAGGTGCGGTGCATAAGCAGAAGCAGAGGAAACACGGCAGAGGGCAGAGCATTATGGGGGGTTACTTGTGAGTCAGGGCCCACAGAATATGAAGATGCAAGAAGGGATGTGGCTGAAAGGGATAAAGAAGGGACAGGGAGGTTGAAGAGATGGGTAGGGTCCTATTACAAATGCGATCTAAGCCAAGCTGAGGAGGGTCAAGTAGGGAGGCAGGGACTTTGCTGGAAGGTTCTATAAGGCGATGCAAGCTGTGACGAATTTGGTTCTTCCAGTCCTGACTGATGGTCCCTGCCAGTCTGGGAATCCCCGTCACCACATCTTCCTGGGAGCTTACTTCAACCTGGTACCCTGCATGCTCCCCTCCACATCCTGCTCATCCCTCAAGGTCCCCAGTCTGCCATTTCTAAATACTCTGCTCTGTGATGACAGTGGTCCTCTTCCCACCACAAAGCTCAACATCCCCTCCTCCCACTTATCTGCTGTACCTGCTGTGTCAGCACCACCAGGCTGAGCAGCACCGTAGGGTGATGATGCAGGGTAACTGGAAGGTCAGCACTGTCACCTTTCTTACGACTCTGAACAGTTCTCTTAAGTATCCCTAACACTTCTACACTTTATAAAGTGAGAATAAAATAAGACCTTCCCCCCAGCCCACCACCAGGACATTAACAGTTATGTACAAATATTACATCAGTAAAAGTAAAATATAGAACTTTTAATTTAAGTATAGCTAGGTACCGGGGCGCCTGAGTGGCTCAGTCAATTAAGCCTTTGGCTCAGGTCATGATCCCAGGGTCCTGGGATCGAGCCCCACATCGGGCTCCTTGCTCAGCGGGGGCCTGCTTCTCCCTTCGCCTGCCGCTCCCCCTGCTTGTGCTCTGTCAAATAAATAAATCTTTAAAAAAAAAAAAAAAAGTATATCCAGGTACAGGAGGGGTGTAAGTATTTGGAGAGCTCAGGCAGAGGGCTAAAATAAATTCCTGGCACTAGAACAGCACTCAGCTGTCAGCTCGTCTAGCCCTCCTTCTCAGGAGGCTTTGGTCCTGAGAGGTTGGGCCCTTGTCTAAAGTAATGGTGGATGAAGAGCTAGACCTGGAGCCCTGGCCTCCTGACTCCAGATGACCAGCAGCAGATGGAGTAAGACCCAGAAGTAATGATACACTGTAAAAAAAGAGCACTGGAACAATATTTACAGCTAGGGAAAGATGATTTTAAGTAGCCAGCAGCTCATCCTAGGGGCAGAATGTCCTTTCTGATAAAATATAAATAAAAGGGGATAATTTGCAATAAAGGAACCTTTTTACAAAAGAATGTCCCTTATTTATTTTTTTAAATACCCGAAGTAATCCACAATCACTGTTAAATAACAAGTTAAGGGTCTCTTAACTGCATAGTATATATACAGACTTCTAAAAAATGATTCTTATTTTGTTTAAATTCTGATTCAAAAATAGGTAGCATACTCCCATGGTTCAAAATTCAAAAGGAACAAACAGGTATATAATTAACAATTTGCCCTCCCTCCCCTGTCCTGCAGCCTTCCCCCGAGGCTAGCGATGTGACCAGTTTCTTACAACGCTTCCAAAGACACTTCTCACATGGACAAGCCGGTACAGATGCACAGAATTAGGCTTTGTCTGTCACGCAGAAGGCGGCACACTGGGCATGTGGTTTGGCGCTGTGCTTATTTACTCACCTGTCTAGGAGATGGTGTGGGTCAGGGCACAGAGCTGCTTCCTTACTTCCGGCTGTGGAGCGGCCTACTGTACGGAGGTAACGCCATCTCTTTAACCTATGCCCACAATGCCCACGGCGGGCACAGGCTGCTCCTACCAGCCAACGCTCCACGAGCAACAATGCCTTACGAGCGATGTTACGTACGCGCTCTTGTGTGTGTGCAGGCACAGCCTCGGAAAATTCTCAGAAGTGAGACTGCGAGGTGAAAGGTCTGGTGCTTTTGTAGGTTTAGTAGATATTGCTAAACCGCCTCTCAGAAGGAGCTGCCAACTGGCACTCCCACAGCATCACGGAGGAGGGCCTGTTTCTCAACCTCCTTGCCAATACCGCATTAGTAAATGTTCTCGTCTTTGCCAGCGTTAACAGGTGAAACAGATCCATTGTTTTCCCTGCATTTCTTTTATTTAGGAGTAAGGCTGAACATCGTTTCACATAACCTAAGGCCAAGTATATCTGCTTTTCTGTGACCTGTGTGTACATCTAGCCTTTTAAAAAAAAAAAAACTGATTTTCCTTACCAATTTTTAGAAACTCTTATATATAAAGGTAGTTAGCCCTTGCAATATGAGCTATAAATGCTGTTTCCCAGTTTATAATTTGTCTTTTGACTTTGCTTAGGGTGGTTATTGCCACACAGTTTTTTTTGGGGGGGGGGGTGTTCTTCTTTTCTCAATGATTTGGTTTATCAGTCTTTTATAGCTTAGTGTTATACTTAGAAAGGTCTTGTTCACTCTAAAAATTTTTTTTAAAAAACACTTCTCAGAATTTTTCTAATCCTTTGATGGTTTTATTTATTCTTAAAATCTCGATAGTTGATCCATCCAGTATTTATCAAAAACAATGTCTTTAAACAGCAGGCCTCCTCACATGTCTATCACCTGACTGGCCTGGGACCCAGGGAATGAAGCAAGGCCGGAGTGCCCACACAGCGTGGAGAAGTTGTGGACTGCCGAGGTCAGTCCACAACAGAGGTCACAGAAACGCGAGACACCAACTCTCCCTCTCACCACTTGTGAGTGAAGGGAAAACAAAGATGTAATTCATTTTAACATTTATTCCTATTTCACTTACATTAACTTTTATGGCAGGAATTAACAAATGGGGAAAGCACTTATCTACCTTGCTCACTGCTCTCGGTTGGGGAATCTTCATGTCGAAGGAAAAATTTCACTTCTTCCCTGCGTGGCCCCCACTTCTGAAGATGTTCATACATCATGTGATCAAAGGGTATAGGACGCTCTAGAAAAAAAACCACATCTTATTCCAGAAACAAAATGACTCCAACCAAAAGTAAAAAACATAGATTTAAATAAGTGTGTGTACAGACACACACATATATTAGAACTCAAGGATATTATAAGCACTAAATTTTAACTTTAATGAGGTGAAAGCAGGAGTATGAGTTCCCGGGAAATAACTCAGGTAACACGTAAGCACAAGAAGTGTACGTAAAAGCGATTTTGCAACATTAATTGGGAACACTGAAAAATGCCCTCTAGGATATTTATCAGGAGGCACTGTGCCTTCCACTCTTCAAAGAAACACACTAACACACTGGTCCCGCTTCGCCATTCATTCATGACAATGTTGCTTGTGGCAGTGAGACACACACAGGACGGACAGGGCACCTCCTGGCAACTCAGGAACTGGTGCTGTGGCTGTTGGCCAGCACCTGCAGAGACCAAGAACTCTCCAGCTGATAATAAAAATGAAAGTCCACAGAATCGAATATACTAATGCATTTCAAATACTAAAACAAAGCTAAAAACCCCCTTACTCAGAGTATCGACACCAGTCACTTGAGAAGAGCACTAACACAGCTGTTAAACTTACAAGGTACCATTTCATAGGTTTCACTCTAGTCGGCTTAGAACCACATCATGTGTACAGAAATCAAAACAAACCAAAAACCTGGGTTGTTTGCCTTTTTCTTAGGTATTTGAAGAACTATTTATATTTTGGATACTAACCCTGGGTTGGTTATATTGAAAGTAAGTTTGTCTTTTAATTTTGTTGGTGCCTTTTGTTATACAGAAGTTTAAAAATTTTAAATGTAAGCAGTTATCAATCTTTTCTGATTTTGAATTTTTTTGTACAATAAATCCTCTCTACTCCAAGGTCAAAGGGATACCTATATTTTTTTCCTACCAATTATAAAGTATTGCTTTCCATTATCTTTATGGAACTGATCTGATTGTGTTTTTCCTACTTGAATTGTCAATTGTCCCAGCATCACTTACTTACTGGAGACCAATGATGGTCTCCTCTGACCTGGCTCAGGCCCTAGTGACTCCAGTCTCTTCTATTCTGTGAGCTATCGCTCTCCCTTGGTGCGATACCAGTCTTCAAGGCTACCACTTTATCACTGCTGTCTGCTAGGTGAGGTCCCCTCACGTGGCTTATCTTTAAAACTATCTTGGCACTGCTCGGCCCTTTGCTCCCATGTATCTTTTAAAGGAGCTGCTTGTCAAGTTCTTTTTTTAAATGTAGGCTTTTGGCTGTAATCATATTAATTTATTTATAAATAAAATTTGGGGAGATCCAAAATCTTTGTAAACTGAGTCTTCTAGTCCATGAACATGGCTCTCTCTCTCTATTTTGTTCAGGCACCTTGTGTTCTTGATTTTTTTTCTTTTTTTTTTTTAAAGATTTTATTTATTTATTTGACAAAGATAGAGAGAGAAGACAAGTAGGCAGAGCAGCAGGCAGAGTGAGAGGGAGAAGCAGGCTCTCCGCTGAGGAAGGAGCCCAATGCAGGGCTTGATTCCAGGACCCTGGGATCATGACCCGAGCCGAAGGCAGCTGCTTAACCAACCAAGCCACCCAGATGCCCCCAATGATTTTCTTTCTTTAAAAGTCACCATAGAGGTCTGATAAATCTTTTTTTTTTTTAAAGATTTTATTTATTTATTTGAGAGAGAGAGAATGAGAAAGAGCACATGAGAGGGGGGAGGGTCAGAGGGAGAAGCAGACTCCCCGCCAAGCAGGGAGCCCGATGCGGGACTCGATCCCGGGACTCCAGGATCATGACCTGAGCCGAAGGCAGTCGCTTAACCAACTGAGCCACCCAGGCGCCCAGGTCTGATAAATCTTAATCTATTCCTTTGTACCTTACAAATTTTTTTTATTTACATAATATGTAAAAATAACTTTCATTTTAGAATGATTGCAGACCTCTAGAAAAGTAGCCAAGACAGTACAGAGTTCATGCAGTTTCCCTTAATGCTAACATCTTAACTACGGAATCTTTGTCAAAACTAAGAAATCGATGCTGGTGCATTAGTGTTAAATTCCAGGCTTTATCTAAAAGCACTCCACCCGTTTCTCCCCTAATGTCCTCTTTCTGTTCCAGGAACTGAACCAGAAAACAACGTTGCATTTACTTGTCTTAAACCCTGGGTCTCGCTGCTCTGTAACAGTTCAGTCCTCCCTGCCTCCCCCTTTTTTAATGCCCTTGACAGTTTTGAGGCGTTCTGGTCGGGTATTTTGTAGAACGCCTGTAATTTTTACTTGTCTAATGTTTTTCCCGTGGTTAGACTGAGGTGATGGGTTTTGGGGAGAACTCCACAGAGGTGGGATACCTTCTCCTCTCATCACACCAGGGTGTGTGTGCCATCACCATGACAGATCACCGTGAAGCTGGGCTCGACCACTGAGCTGAGGTGGTGTCTGCCAGGTACCCCCCACCCCAACTACTACCCGATTCTCAAACAGGCAGTTGGCAAATGGTGAGTGCTGTAATGCATGGAGGGGAGGACTGCAGGCTGATGGCATCAGCCTCTTTCTCCAGAAACATCTCCCCCAACACTTCACATGCTGACGACTGATTCACAGGACCTAATATAACCTCTAGCTCTGTAATGGGAAACTGGAGGGAATTTCTCATTCTCAAGAGTTTAATTAACCTCAGGAACTACCCCCTACCTCCACTCTTTGCTGTTACCAACATTAACAAATGTGGTTTGTGTAGGTGAAAAGTAAATTGTATTGTGAAATTTTCATATCTTTTTTTGTAATTTCTTGCTTAATTATTAATTATGCCTTTCTGTTTTATATTTTATTAGTGTTTGTGTTTTACTAACATTCCTGGAAGCCCAAAGTTGCAATTTTTGAAGACAAGGTGTGAGATAAGAGAAATTCTAAACCTAGGCCTACACTCAAGAGAAGTGAAAACATGCCCACATAAGCATTTGCATGTGAATGTTCACAGCAGCATTATCACAACCAAAAAGCAGAAACAACCCAAAGGTCCATCACCTGCTGATGGATAAATAAAATGTGGTCTATCACACTACAGATATTATTACGCCAAAAAAAGGAATTAAGTACTGAGACATACTACAACATGGATGAACCCTGAAAATATCATGCTAAGTAAAAGAAGCCAGACCAAAAAGCCACATACTATATGATTCCATTTATAGGAGGTACCTACAATAGTCAAATACATAGGGCCAGATAGTCATACAGTGGTTGCCAGTGGCTAGAGGAGGAAGGAATGGAGAGGAACAGAGTTTGGTGATGGCTACACAACACCGTGAATGTCCTAAATACCACCAAACTGTACACTTACAAATAGTGATTTTTATGATATGTGAGTTTTATCTCAAGTTAAAGGGGAAAAAAGGAAATCCTGAAATGTTCCCACTGCTGCTTGTGCTTGGAAGTGAGGAAGGATATCAGCAAGACTGGGGGCTCACAGGCAGTGACTTGGGAGAGTGGCGGGACAACAGTGAGCAGCGGTGTCCACCTTTAACACGAGCATACAGCTGCATGGGAAACCTTTCTTTAAATGTGCTCTGAGAAGTGGGCTTTCTCTAAATCCACCCTTTGAAAAGTGGACTTTGAGGCAAAGAAAGAGTTTTACAGGCTATAGTCTAATCATACATTCACGGTGTGATGTATTGCTCTGCCCCAGAGAAGTTCTAGATTTCTATAAAGAAAAGGGTCCTGCCATTCCCAGAAATATAATGAACACTGTGCTGCTAAAGTTGCACCTTCCTGCATGTGCGGGCAAGCTCTGTCTTTCGCCTCAAACGTCAGGGCAAAGACAGAAATGGTCTCATCTCCGTTGAAAATGAAGTATGTGTTTGCTTAGCTCAAGTTCAGCACCCAATTATTTGCACAAAAAAACCCAAGCACAAAGTGAACTTTAAAGAAGTAAATTAGTTTTAGAAGTAACACTTTTTATGTATACAGGCCTATAAAAAAGATTTTTTAAGATTGTATTTATTTCTTCTAGAGAGAGAGAGCGTGAGAAGGGGGAGGAACAGAGGGAGAGGCAGAGAGAGAATTTCCAGCAGACTCCTTGCTGAGCACAGAGCCTGACGTAGGGCTCGATCCCAGGACCCTGAGATCATGACCTGAGCCGAAACCAAGAGTCTGACACTCAACTGACTGAGCCACCCAGGTGCCCCTGAGCATAACTTCGTAACGATTAAATCCAATTTTGTCCTAAGTCAGTTATTTAACAAATTTATTGCTTTCCTTTATGAATTAAAAATTTCAAAGAAAAGACTAATTTCAAGAAAAGTAAGCTAAAGCTTCACTGCCCTTGTTTTAAATAATAAAAGCTACCTAAAACATCATGCTCGTGTGAGCAGAGAAGCTAACAGCATCTCTAGTAATGGGAATCTTTGATAAGACTTTCAGGTATTCCTGGATAAGGCAAAAATAAAAGCAAGTAGGAAACTTGACAAAAGGAAAAGCTGAAGATTCTACCTCCACACCTGGTTCACAAGAGAGCTGGTCCTGTGTGGGGAGGGAAGCACAAGTAAGGCAAACTTGCCAGTGACAGGCTGTGATGGGCTGAGCTGCATCCCCCCACTAATTCATATGTTGAACTCCTAACCCCCAGAACCTCAGAATGCAACCTTTTTGAAACTGGATCTTTAAGGAGGTAATAAGTAAAAATGAGGTCACCAGGGTGGGCTCGAATCCAATGTGTCCTCATTATGAAGAAGAGACTAGAAGAGATGAGGACACAGACATGCCCAGAGGGAAGACACACAGAGAAGGTGGCATCTGTAAGCCAAGGAGAGAGGCCTCAGGAAAAACTAAGCCTGTCAACATTTTGACCTCGGACGTGAGAATGAATGTCTGGTGTTTAAGCCACTGAGGCCGTAGTACTGTGTTATGGCAGGCGCTAGCAAACTAATACACAGAGCCGCAGAGAATGAGTCTCTTCTCCAAAGCACTGACAATTATAGTGGTGTATTATATTTATGACATACTGATCACACTAATACACCACGAGTTGTAGATGCAGTAATTTTTACGCATTCTCTGAAACCTGAAAATTTCTGTAAGGCTTTCTCTAGGGTAAAAAGATAGAGAATGGCTGTTCTAAGTGCTTTCCCCCTTCCTCTGAATCTTACCCACCAGAAAGTATCTCTTCAAGACCCAGCTTTGCTGTCTATTTTACTCAATGATTTAAGTGTTTACTGAGGGAATATGATAGTGAACAGACATGTTCCTGCCTTGCCTTCAGGAATTGTAGTCCAATGAGAGATATGAAAACTGCTGTATTACGTTCTGATAAATACTATGACAGCATTGCAGCACAGGGGAGCGTCATGTAACACCCTCTGAGACTCAGAGAAGGGATGAGAGGCAAAGAATGAACAGAAGTTAGCCAAGCAGGGGGACTGTCCTAGACAATGAGAACAGCATATACAAAAGCCAAAGCAACTACAGTATGCTGTGACCCTCTGCTGTGAGGTGTTAGTCCTCATTCCTGATGAGGTGAAACAACGGGGTATGATTTCAGGTGGGCCTGGGAACAAGGAGAGCACCAACTGAAAGACTCCTGTAAGGGAGATTAGCATTCTCAATGGCCAGGTGACTATCTGGGGCAATGATACTTAACAGTAAAAGTTTATTCCCTCCCAGATAAGGCAAGAGAGAGGGAGAGGGAAGTCAAGACTTAGAAGTGATAACAAGTAACAAAGAACAAGAGTGCTAAGAGACTGGGGAAGAAGCAACAATAACATAATGATCAGGCTCTAACAGCAGTCCCCCAACAAACTGTCATTACTTAACTGTCCCCGCACCCCAACCCCCGCTTCCTGTCACTGTTATCAGACTGATAACTGAGGACCTACCCTCTTACTTCTGGTTTAGTAATAGTCCAACATTTATCAAAGTCAAATTCCTCTGAATGTGCCCTGAAATCTTCGCTCTGAATTCTAAGGATAACATTAAAAGCACAAGACTTTGGAAGAAAATATTTAAAAATCATATACCCAACAAGGGACTTGTATCTAGAATATATAAAGAACTCTTACTGGGGATGTAATGTACAGCATGGTGACTTTAGTTAATAATACTGTAATGCATATTTGAAAATTGTTAAAAGGGGCACGTGGGTGGCTCAGTCGTTAAGCGTCTGCCTTTGGCTCGGATCATGATCCCAGGGTCCTGGGATCAAGCCCCACATCAGGCTCCCCGCTTGGTGGGAAGCCTGCTTCTCCCTCTCCCACTCCCCCTGCTTGTGTCCCTGCTCTTGCCATCTCTCTGTCAAATAAATTAAAAAATCTTAAAAAAAAAAAAAGTTGCTAAAAGAATAGATCTTGAAAGTTCTTGTTGCAAGAAGAAAATTTTTTTGTAACTGTATGGTGATAGATGTTAATTAGACTTATTGAAGTGATAATTTCACAATATATACAAATACCATTAGGTATGTGAAACCAATATGTTAGATGTCAATTATACCTCAATTAAAAACAAAAACTCTTATAACTCAATAATAAAAAGACAAACTCAATTGAAAAATGGGCAAAAGATCTAAAGGATCTAAATAGACATTTCTCTAAAGAAGAGCACATGGCCAATGAGCACATGAAAAGATCTCAACATCATTAGTCACTACGGAAATGCAAATCAAAACCACAATGAGATACTGCTCACACCCACTAGGATGGCTAGAATCATGTACATAATATCAAGTGTTGGCAAGAATGTGGAGAAACTGGAACCCTCACTTACTTCTGCTGAGACGATAAAATGGTTGCTTTGGAAAATAAGCTGGCAATTCTTCAACAAGTTAAACAATTGCCTTACCACTCTGCAATCCTACTCATAAACACACACCTAAGAGAAGTGAAAACAAACATCCACCCAAACACTTGTACACGAATGTTCACAGCAGCACTACTCATAATAGCTAGAAAGTGGAAGCAACCCAAATGCCCATCAACTGCAATGGATAAACACAAATCCATCTAATAGAATATTATTCAGTGGGCGCCTGGGTGGCTCAGTTGGTTAAGCGACTGCCTTCGGCTCAGGTCATGATCCTGGAGTCCCGGGATCGAGTCCCGCATCGGGCTCCCTGCTCGGCGGGGAGTCTGCTTCTCCCTCTGACCCTCCTCCCTCTCGTGTGCTCTCTCTCTCTCTCTCATTCTCTCTCTGTCAAATAAATAAATAAAATCTTTAAAAAAAAAAAAAAAGAATATTATTCAGCAACAAAAAGGAATGAAGTACTGATACCAAAACAACATGGATGAACCTTGCAAAACATCATGCTCAATGAAAGCCAGCCAAAGGGGACTCCATACTATATGATTCCATTTATGTGAACTATCCAGAACGGGAAAATCTACAGAGACAAGAGATTAGTGGCTCCTCAGGATGGAGGGGGTTGGAGAGGAATAGGGAATGATTGCTAAGGGGTATGAAGTTTCTTGTTTGTGGCGATGAAAATGTTTTTTGATTGGGGTGATGGCTGCACAACCCTGAGTGCACTGAAATGACTGAATTGCAAACTTTAAATGGGTGAACATATTGCATGTGAATTTTATCTCAATAAAGCTATTTTAAAAAGTGTAAGTAAGCCTTCAGTGATTATCCCTAAGTCCCCTTTCAATATTTGAATTTGGATGCTCTCATTATCACCTCAGATTCAGCATGTTCCAGCTGATCATTCTCTTCCTTTCCAATGCAGACCTGCCCATACCTACTCCCTCTGTTTTCCTACCACATAAATCCTTGGCTGGTACTGAAGGCCTTTGTGCAAGCTAGTTCTTCTAGTCTCTTCCCTGCTGCCTACTTTCTCTTTTTTTTTTTTTTTTTAAGATTTTTATTTATTTATTTGACAGAGAGAGACACAGTGAGAGAGAGAATACAAGCAGGGGGAGTGGGAGAGGGAGAAGCAGGCTTCCCACCGAGCAGGGAGCCCGATGCGGGGCTCGATCCCAGGACCTGGAATCATGACCCAAGCCGAAGGCAGACGCTTAATGACTGAACCACCCAGGCGCCGCTGCTGCCTACCTTCTCTTAAAATACCAGTCCCTTAGCTATCTTAGAAGCACACTGTTTCTGTGTTCTTCTCTTGTCCTTCCTTCACATCGCTTCCCTTGTTGAGTATAGCCTATCTACATTCAACCTCTCTTTAGAGTCCAAATTATTTTGCAGAATTTTCTGTATTCAATAATCATACTACTTATGCTGATCTTCTCTGCCCAGTTCACTGTAAGAGCCAACAGAGTTAGCCCTTGAGCAACACAGAGGTTAGGGACACTGACCCCGTGTGCAGGCAGAAATTCACATATAACCTTTAACTCCCCCAGAACTTAAATACTTATAGCCCACTGTTGGACAGTAGCCTTACTGATAAATAGCCAATTCACACATATTTTGTATGTTATATGTATTACATACTGTGTTCTTACAGTTAATAGCTAACTTTTTCTTCATTTTTTTGGTATTTCTAGGCTATGTGGTTTATCTCAGTTTTTTCAAATTGTTGCAAATCTCCAAATATTTTCCAATATATTTACTGAAAAAAAATCCACATATAAGTGGACCTGAGCAGTTCAAACCTGTGTTATTCAAGGGTCAACTGCATTTGCTCTTCACAATTTAATAAATATGATCAAGGGCGTACTGTTTAACAGGTTTTGTACACAGGGAAAAAAAATAATGTTTCTGCCTTGAAGTGTCAGAGGGAAAAAGAAAAGTTGATGAACAACTCAATACATATCAAACAAAACACTGTAAAGTCTCAGAGAACAGAAAACTCTCATTTGGTTTGTAGTGAGATCAAGAAAGATCTCACAGAAGAGCTCCATCTATTTTCCCTACTTATTTCAGATGGCACTAGTAATAAGGGTCAATTACATATCTTTTACGGAAAGCATTTGTAAAATCTTATCCCCATGTAATGTGATTTTAATTACTCAATTCCTCATTACTACTACAGATAACTAAGAACTACAAGAAATATTTTGCATTTGATAAATATTACATTTTATATACTTAGTCATCTCTACAGAGCCTAATACATACCATTTCCCCTCCACACTTCAGCTAAATGGCAACTGCCTTCTCCAGGTTCCTTGCAAAATTCTACAACATCTCGACATGTTGTTTCTGGTGTTATAGGAACTTCTGTTAGAATCTGTTCGTTGTTGCTCAAGAACACGGTTAATATCATCTGTAAGAGAAAAGATTAAAGCTACAACTTAGAGTCATCATCATAAGGGATTAATCTGTAAATTTAAAGCAATCCCCTCCACCTCCCACTCCCCTACCCACACCAAAATGCCTACAGGATTAGTTTTTGGAAACAGGCTGATTCTAAAATTCATATAGAGGGGTGCCTGGTTGGTTCAACTGAAACAGCACATGACTCTTGATCTTGGTGTTGCAAGTTCAAGCCCCACACTGGGTGTACAGACTACTTACACAAATAAGAAATATAGTTAAACAAAAGTCATGTAGAAAAATTAAAAGGTAAAACAAGTCAGGAAAATTCCAAAAGAAAATAACATTAGAAGGAAACTAGCATTACCAGATACTATAAAGCCTCAAAACAATATGGCAGTAGTACATAAATATATCAATGGAACAAATTATGAAGTCCAGAAACAGAAAATGGTAAATGACGAAGGACGTAACTCTGAATTGAGGAGGGAAAAAGACTATGCAATGAATGATGTTTGAACAATATTCCCATCTGGGAAAAAAAACTGGATTCACATCGCACATCATTTACCAGCATAACCTCCTACTAGGATCAAATACTTAAATATAAATCGTAAGTTTATAAAAGTTCTAGAATAAAACCAGGTAAATTCCTTTGTATAACCTTGGAGTACAGAAGCTCATTCTAGCTATAGCTCAAAAACCAGGCTCTATAAAAAAGATTGATATATTCAAACAAAAAAGACAAACTGAGGGAAAAATATTTGCAATGCATATGACAAATAAAAGGTTAACCTCCTTAACATATAAAAGGCCCCTAAGGGGGCACCTGGCTAGCTCAGTGGGTTAAGCAGCTGTCTTTGAGGGTCATGATCCCAGGGTCCTGGGGTTCAGCCCCATGTCCCCAGTGTTGAGCCCTGCGTCAGGCTCCCTGCTCAGCGGAGAGCCTGCTTCTCCCTCTCCCTCTGCCTGCTGCTCTGCCTACTTGTGTGCTGTCAATACATAAAACCTTTAAAAATAAATAAATAAAAGGTTCCTAAAAATCGATAACAAAGCTGAGGAAGAGGCACCTGGCTGGCTCAGTCAGTGGAGCGTGTAACTCTTGATCTCGGGGTCATGAGTTCAAGCCCCACGTTGGGGATAGAGTCTATTTAAAAAAAAATAAAGTTTAAAAAATTGTCTGGGCAAATATAACAATATATCAGAATAAAATGCAAATGGTCCTTAAACATGAAAATACATTATCATGTATTTAAAAAATTGTCCAGCATTTATTTATTTATTTATATTATGTTATGTTAATCCCCATACATTACATCACTAGTTTTTGATGTAATGTTCCATGATTCATTGTTTGTGTATAACACCCAGTGCTCCATGCAGAACGTGCCCTCTTTAATACCCATCACCGGGCTAACCCATCCTCCCACCCCCCTACCCTCTAGAACCCTCAGTTTGTTTTTCAGAGTCCATAGTCTCCCATGGTTCGTCTCCCCCTCCGATTTTCCCCCCTTCATTTTTCCCCTCCTTTTTTTTTTTAAGATATAATGTATTATTTGTTTCAGAGGTACAGATTTGTGATTCAACAGTCTTACACAATTCACAGTGCTCACCATAGCACATACCCTCCCCAGTGTCTATCACCCAGCCACCCCATCCCTCCCACCCCCCACCACTCCAGCACCCCTCAGTTTGTTTCCTGAGATTAAGAATTCCTCATATCAGTGAGGTCATATGATACATGTCTTTCTCTGATTGACTTATTTCGCTCAGCATAATACCCTCCAGTTCCATCCACGGCATTGCAAATGGCAAGATTTCGTTCCTTTTGATGGCTGCATAATATTCCATTGTGTATATATACCACATCTTCTTTATCCATTCACCTGTCGATGGACATCTTGGCTCTTTCCACAGTTTGGCTATTGTGGACATTGCTGCTATAAACATCGGGATGCATGTACCCCTTCGGATCCCTACATTTGTATCTTTGGGGTAAATACCCAGTAGTGCAATTGCTGGGTCACATGGTAGCTCTATTTTCAACTTTTTGAGGAACCTCCATACTGTTTTCCAGAGTGGCTGCACCAGCTTGCATTCCCACCAACAGTGTAGGAGGGTTCCCCTTTCTCCGCATCCCTGCCAACATCTGTCGTTTCCTGACTTGTTAATTTTAGCCATTCTGACTGGTGTGAGGTGATATCTCATCAAGGTTTTGATTTGGATTTCCCTGATGCTGAGTGATACTGAGCACTTTTTCATGTATCTCTTGGCCATTTGGATGTCTTCTTTGGAAAAATGTCTGTTCATGTCTTCTGCCCATTTCTTGATTGGATCATTTGTTCTATGGGTGTTGAGTTTGATAAGTTCTTTATAGATTTTGGATAGTAGCCCTTTATCTGATATGTCATTTGCAAATATCTTCTCCCATTCTGTTGGTTGTCTTTTGGTTTTGTTGACTGTTTCTTTTGCTGTGCAAAAGCTTTTTATCTGGATGAAGTCCCAATAGTTCATTTTGGCCCTTGCTTCCCTTGCCTTTGGCGATGTTTCTAGGAAGAAGTTGCTTCGGCTGAGGTCAAAGAGGTTGTTGCCTGTGTTCTCCTTTAGGATTCTGATGGACTCCTGTCTCACATTTAGGTCTTTCAACCATTTTGGGTCCGTCTTTGTGTGTGGTGTAAGGAAATGGTCCAGTTTCATTCTTCTGCATGTGGCTGTCCAATTTTCCCAACACCATTTGTTGAAGAGACTGTCTTTTTTCCATTGGGTATTCATTCTTTCCTGCTTTGTCGAAGATTAGTTGACCATAGAGTTGAGGGTCCATTTCTGGGCTTTCTATTCTGTTCCATTGATCTATGTGTTTGTTTTTGTGCCAGTACCATACTGTCTTGATGATGACAGCTTTGTAATAGAGCTTGAAGTCCGGAATTGTGATGCCGCCAGCTTTGCTTTTCTTTTTCAACATTCCTCTGGCCATTCGGGGTCTTTTCTGGTTCCATACAAATTTTAGGATTATTTGTTCCATTTCTTTGAAAAAAGCAGATGGTATTTTGATAGGGATTGCATTGAATGTGTAGATTGCTCTAGGTAGCATTGACATCTTCACAATATTTGTTCTTCCAATCCATGAGCATGGAACGTTTTTCCATTTCTTTGTGTCTTCCTCAATTTCTTTCATGAGTATTTTATAGTTTTCTGAGTACAGATTCTTTGCCTCTTTGGTTAGATTTATTCCTAGGTATCTTATGGTTTTGGGTGCGATTGTAAATGGGATCGACTCCTTAATTTCTCTTCCTTCTGTCTTGTTGGTGTATAGGAATGCCACTGATTTCTGTGCATTGACTTTATATCCTGCCACTTTACTGAATTCCTGTATGAGTTCTAGTAGTTTTGGGGTGGAGTCTTTGGGGTTTTCCACATAAAGTATCATATCATCTGCAAACAGTGAGAGTTTGACTTCTTCTCTGCCGATTTGGATGCCTTTTATTTCTTTTTGTTGTCTGATTGCTGTGGCTAGTTCTAATACTATGTTGAATAGCAGTGGTGATAGTGGACATCCCTGCTGTGTTCCTGACCTTAGGGGGAAAGCTCTCAGTTTTTCCCCATTGAGAATGATATTCACTGTGGGTTTTTCATAGATGGCTTTTATGATATTGAGGTATGTACCCTCTATCTCTATACTCTGAAGAGTTTTGATCAAGAAAGGATGCTGTACTTTGTCAAATGCTTTTTCTGCATCTATTGAGAGGATCGTATGATTCTTGTTCTTTCTTTTATTAATGTCTTATATCACATTGATTGATTTGCGGATGTTCAACCAACATTGCAGACCAGGGATAAATCCCACTTGGTCGTGGTGAATAATCCTTTTAATGTACTATTGTATCCTATTGGCTAGTATTTTGGTGAGAATTTTTGCACCCATGTTCATCAAGAATATTGGGCTGTAATTCTCTTTTTTGATGGGGTCTTTGGTTTGGGGATCAAGGTAATGGTGGGCCTCATAAAACAAGTTTGGAAGTTTTCCTTCCATTTCTATTTTTTGGAACAGTTTCAGAAGAATAGGTATAAATTCTTCTTTAAATGTTTGGTAGAATTCCCCTGGGAAGCCATCTGGCCCTGGGCTTTTGTTTGTTGGGAGATTTTTGATGACTGCTTCAATTTCCTTAGTGGTTATAGGTCTGTTCAGGTTTTCTATTTCTTCCTGTTTCAGTTTTGGTAGTTTACACATCTCTAGGAATGCATCCATTTCTTCCAGATTATCTAATTTGCTTGTCCAGCATTTTTAAAAAAGGTTTTGTTTACTTATTTGAGAGTAAGCGAGAGAGCGCAAGTAAGCACACGGGGTGGACTGGTAGGAGTAGAGAGAGAAGCAGACTCCCCGCTAAGCGGGGAGCCTGACGCTTGATCCCAGCACCCTGGGATCATGACACCTGAGCCCAAGGCAGACGTTTAACCGACTGAGCCACCCAGGTGCCCCAGTATTTTTTTTAATCTTTAAAAGAAATCCTACCATTTTGATCTAAGATCTAAAGCGATCATAATGGAAGGGATTTCTTTAAAAACATTACTCCTAAAATACAATTTAAACCAAAGATTTTCTTTAATCAGTATTATGAAATATTTGTTTACTCTTTGATCAAAGTCAGAAACAAAACCTGCATTTGTCCCCAAATCTTCCTCTCGCTTAAAATCTCAGCTGTAAATTAAGTATTTTAGTTCACTGTTAAAATAGTTTTTTCTTACAAGTGCCCTAAATTCCTAAATTTTGAGATTAAACGTCTTTAGCTTGATGGTCAGATGTTATGTAACCGAAATTGGTAACAGTTTTCAACTGGTTTCCTTGCCACCAACCTCCCCTCAGTCCAACCTAGCCTCTGGCACTGCCAGTTGACTTTCTAAATGTAAATCAAATGAAGTCAGTCCCTAGCTTAAAACACTCAGGAGCTCCACACGGCTGAACAACAGCCCTTCCCAAAACGGTTTTTTCCTAGTATACAAAGAGGAAACAGGTTTCTTTCTTTTCTTTTTTTTAAGATTTTATTTATTTATTTGACAGAGAGAGACATAGCGAGAGAGGGAACACAAGCAGGGGGAGTGGGAGAGGGAGAAGCAGGCTTCCCGCTGCGCAGGGCTCAATCCCAGGACCTTGAGATCATGACCTGAGCCGAAGGCAGACACTTAACGACTGAGCCACCCAGGCGCCCCAGGAAACAAGTTTCTTTACTGAGCACTTAGCATTCCAATGTTCAGGTGAACCTGTCCCTTTTTCCCCCAGAGACTCTTCTGAGGCTTGGATTTCCCCAGAATACCCTCTGAGAAAGCCTATAGACTACGGGGTCAGCTCCCAGCTCCCAGCACAGCAGACACAATTGGGCATAACCTTCCTAGCCTCCCAGCCCCAGCCCCTGCCCCTACACACATTGAGCCTAGCTCCCTCAAATCCAATCAAGTTCTCTCAGGCTGCTGTCCCTGCCCGAGGGCCCTGGGGGCCTGCTTGCCTGTGAACTCCAATTCATATGCTACCACCTTTGCAAAACCTCCCTTCACCACCTCCTCTCACCTGGGAGGCTATATGCTCCATCCGTTGTGATCCAGTTACTCTTCACACATACCTTTATTACATCACAGCATTAAGAGGTCTCCCTCCTGCTCACTAGGCTCCAAGAACTCCACTTCCGAATCTGTCATTTCCCAGTGCCTAAGCAGCATCTGAGGCATGGTAAGCACACTAATCCGGTTGACTCCATGAATGACACAAAGAATATAAAGACCCCACCATACCATATAATGGAGGAAATACTGCACATAATCTAAGATACATCCAGTCTGTTCAATAAACAAGCATTTTTCCCCCGCCTGTTCTTCTTGGATATTATAAATACATTTCAATTTTATAAGAAGTTAAACAGTTATTTCTGCTCACTAACCCATAAGAGGAAATTACAAAATTGGGGGCTTTTGAGTACTGAAATAAATGACCTGGCATCTATAGAATTTGGAATAAAATAGTAATTCCTGGATCCAGTGCAAACAAGCCCAGAACTGAAGGGCCTTAATGCTTTCACAGTTTCAACAGAACTAGAATGTATTTTTACTCTTGTTTACACACATTTTATACTTCTAATGATACATTATGTAATTTCATAG